CCCTACCAAATCGCTCATTTTCTTTCCAAGAGAAAAAATAATCATTTTCAGTAAAAGTTCCAACATTAGATTAACATAAGCAGGCACCAGCGGGGTAGGAGCAGTAAAGCATGAACTGACAACACACAGTAATTGGTCAACCATGCATGTACTTTGACTTGCATGCAAAGAAATTAGGAGCAATATGGCTCATTTCCCCAAAACACAATCTGTACTGTCACACAAACACAAACACCGGTCGGTACTTCCTGCTTTTCCATTAACATCTCCTGAGAAGGGGCTGATGTTTCCCTCATCCTTGTGCTTCACTGCAGCGACACACTCATCATCTTCACTCTGTTTCATGCCGGACCAGAGACAGTGCTGCCAGCCCTGGGGGATACCCCCCGTGTCTACTCTGGGGCTGGGGCTGTGTGTAAGCGCCCTGAAGAAAGAGTGGCTTGTTCAAGGGCAGGCAAGCTGGCCATGGGCCAGGGACTCGGAGTCTTTGTTCTCCTGGCTTTTTCAAAGTGGCAATTAGGCAATAAAAATCCTAAATATGAGGCAGCAACAGGCCTGCCGAAGCAGCAGAATTGGTTATTCATTGTCGTGGTGAATCACTAAAATTCCTATCAAGTCAAACTCCCAAAGGAACTTCAAAGGCTATAGATCAAGCAGGAAAATAGAGCAATTGTAGACGCAAACTGCTTGACCCTGACCTGGACATGAGACCACTCCTTTCAAACTGTGGAAAACTGCTTGCAAAAGAGACAGAAAAAAATCAGACTGGCTGAACTGGCATGACCTCACTGCAAGCGGACCTCCAGCATGAACAAGCCAGATGAATACAAGCCAGATGAATACAATATTGTATTCATGCATCTGGGCCTCTGAAGAATGTGCCATCAGAACCCAGGGGGCAAAGCTACTTGAAAGGGAGCTGTAAACGACCGCTGTGCATCAGAGCCGGTGCACCTCCGTGTGGACATCGGTGAGGAAGGGCCGAGCTGACCGCCCTCGGGCAGACCGGGCTGGGCAGAGGAGGGTTCTGGCCGGGCTCTCACCTCGCAGGCCGTGCTTGAGGCAGTGCTCCAGCACCACGAAGAACTGCTGCAGGGGGGGGTAGTCCGAGTCGAGGGAGCGGCCCAGGCTCAGCGCCGACTGGATCAGCACCTTCACGCTCAGCTTCATCATGTTCAGCAGGTTGCTCCGCTCCACCGCCAGGGCGTCCCTGCCTGCGGAGGAAAGACCATCGCACACCTCTCACAACGCAGCCCGCTGCGCACAGGGCAAGGAGCCCACAGCTCCTTCTTGACAGTTCATTTATCTTGCTAAGCACTACAGCCTGGTACGAAGACATGTGCTGGTTTGGTTCGTCTCCTGTTCTCCACCCCTCTGCGTTCGCTTCTAATAAAAGAGCAACTGTCATAATAAGAAATAAACATCTGCAAAGAATGAGCTGCACAGAATACAGAGCAGAGTTACTTTCTTCACAGAAATCTTAAGTGGAACTGAAATGTTCAGAGGTCAGCGAGTGACGCACCCCGCACGGGTACAGATACAGTCGCCAGCGTGTGACACATGGGGAGCTGGTTGGTGGCAGTGTCAGAACTGGACTCTCAGTCGCTGCAGGACACGGAAGGAAGGGAACCGCAGATGCCCACCACTTTGAGACGGGAACTGCTGATTTAAGGGACAAGGGGAAAAAAAACTCTCCTAACTGAACAGCGTCATACGACCTGAAAATAAAAGCTTCCTATGTGAACTAGATTTCGACAAAACCTCACTTAAGCAATACTGAAATTAAAACCCACACAGAGCTGGCGACACAAATTCTGTAAATACGTGAACCCTCGGAAGGATTGTCTCTTTATACACAGAAATAGTTGTCAGTCAGAAGCAGAAGCATAATCTCATTACTGGGGTCTAGAATGTCAAAGTCCAAAATATAATGAGACATATTATAAAACCAAACAAATAATATTTGTCCCAACACTCATAAGTTTTTAAAGCCTCTCAGTATTGCACAACAAAAACCTCTCCTCTGAACTAAGATGGCTAATCTCCGTTTAGCAGAAGTAGATCACACGTTTCCTGGTAGAAGAACGCAATCTACCGTCTACCAGAGAAAGACATTATTTCTTTTTTTTATCTGAATTTGAAAAGCAAACTGAAAGGAACTAAATTTCATTCATCCATCGGACACATTCCATACTGTTATTCTGTCTCTTTTCTGGTTCTGCTCCAAACTTGCTACAAAGAGATGAAGAACTCAAATACTCGCCATGTTAAGACCTAGAATGGTCTACTACCTCATGATGGGAATCAGTCGCCCCCGTTAACAATGCAGCTACGCATCAGGAGCCGTGTGTGGCTCTGCACCTGTGCAGCTTGAGTTTGACTGGCGAACTGGACGGCCTTCAGGCACGCAGACAGAGCGCAGCACTGGGCCTTTCAAGCTCAGACGTTCTCCCGCAGGCAGATGAGCAACACACCCTTCGTCTCGGGGCTGAGCCGATCACAAGGAGCATCGCCTTTACAAACTCCAGTGTGCGACTCCAGCGGCTCACAACAGCCTTTCACTCTCCACGGTAGTGAGATTCACACCGCTAACCACCCGACACCTCCACATCTGGGGCGTTTAAGGACACAGGGAACAGTCACTGTCAGCCTTTCAGACCAGAGACGAGCGTCACACTGCAGATCCAGCACACATCCACAGCCATGCTCCGACACTCTGCCAGCACTTCCATTACTTCCAGCCCTTCCCAGCGCAGCTCCTGGCCGCCGGATGAGCCAGCATTGAGGGCGACTGTAGCCTATAGACCTGCGTTTGACTAAACCAGCAGTAGGGACCGTCACCCCGGTTTGAGACCATTAAACCACGTCACTGCAAACGAAAAGGAATTTGCTGGTAGTTCTACTGGGGACTATCTGAAGTCAGAACCACTGCACTGTATGCTCCTCAGCCCTAAACCTGCCAGACTGTCCTGTAAAACGTGCCTGGAAATATCATGGAAAAAGCCTAAAATGAGATCTGGAAAAGAGGAACTGTGACCATCACACGCCCTTGCAGTCACACCTCACTGTGTCATGACTTGAGCAGTGAGCAGCTATGCATGAGCTCCACTGAAACGTCTTTCTTGAAACTGCCCGCACCGGAGCGGTGAGCGTGACTTGATTTCCCGAACACTGGGAAACTTTCAGGACGCATAAAACCGATCGCACCATGTAGGCGTGCGCATTGTTCAGGAGCCTTGAATCCTGAGGTTCCGTTTCGAGAAAAGCGCACTCTGCCCCTGCGTGGCCCGAACACGCGGGGTGCGCGGGCAGGTCCGCGGCTCGTGCCCTCGCAGCGCCACGGCTGCAGACGCGCTGACGTCAACGAGTGAGCTTACCTGCGCAGGTACATCCGGACACACAACAACCGCACGGGCGACGTGCCGAAAACAAGACAGAAGCACAGAAAATCAGAGCAGGGAGCTACTTTACTCCGGCAGGGCAAGCTCCACCACCAAAGTTTCATCGGGTCGGCCAGCTGAAGTTTTTAGCTAGACAGGTGTCCGGCGATTCGGTGCAGTAACTAAAACGCAACTTTCACCGAAGGCGAGCAAGACGCAACGTCTGCGTTTCGCGCACAGAATGAAGCAACAGTTGGGAATACCTGGTTTAGGAGTGTGCCCGTCATTGCTGGCCGGGTGCGGCTTGGATGACAGCACCCCAGCAGCAGACGCGGCCCCTCTCAGAGCGCTGCTGTGGCTGACGGTACTGGACAGGCTCTCCGTCGCCCTCCTGGCCAGCGACAAAATCGGAGCCGACCAGCCGCCGTCCGGCGGGGGCTTCTCTTTCTGCTCCTCCTGAGGGCTGCCGACTGCACTCTCCGGTACACCTTCCAAAACTTCGAAGTCCTCCTTATCCTGGTCCCCCGCTCCGGTGTCAACACACCTGGCGTCTGCCTCCATCTTCAAAACATGTGACGCCAGGCCGAAGCAAACGAGCTAAGGGGAGGACAGCGAGCAGACCTGAGCAATCGAACCCCGCTGGCTCGTCAGCTGGGGCTGATCCGTGGTCTCGAGAGCTCCGAATTCTGGCTCGCGCTCTGTCGGGTGGGAGCAGCGCTCGCGCCTCCGTCTTGGTGGGGGGGGGTTCACACACACGTCACACACACGTCACAAGGTGCAAAAGCACAGATCAATCATCTAATAAACTCATAATAATTCCTGGGGAGGACACAGCCAACAAGATACAAGACACACAGAAAAAAAAACGTCATGTCAAGACATATCGTATGACACAGAGACAATAGGTATGGCAAATGTTAAAGCGCGCATTAAAAAAAGAGAAATAAATTGGGATGTTAAATGAATAAACAAAGATTGCACGAGAAAGTCACCCATGAAGCTATATACTGATCCGAACGGCACAGTTTCAATTTAACACGCAACACAGAAAGTGGGATTAACGACATGTTCCTAATATGCAGAGGTCACTGTGGCTGTGGACATGATTAGGGTATTAGACAAGATTCAGAGAATGCATAGCGACACGGCAACTTAGGTTAAAAATAAAAAGTTAATGGTCAATGACAGCACGTTAGCAAAAACCAAAGACCCCAGGAAAGAGGGCTGAAATAATGGACCTGCTTTAAGACTTGATTCCAGCTGAGAATATTGATGATTGTCTAATAATAGCGGTGTAGAGTTCCAGATTCACCGGCTCTGTACTGTGACCTGTCGCCTCCAGGAGAGGCTCTGTGTTTCTGATGCAAGGTTATTTCCAGTCTGTTGATTGGAACAAGGAAACATATCAGGTAAAGACGGTCCACTAGGCCGCGCAAGAGGACTAAAAATGTCATTAATTTACGCATTAGAGCTGCCCCCTTCTGCCCCGTTATTTTTCTTATATTTAAATAAAATAATTATAAGTGCTTCTGAATATAAGAGTAATCATAATGTGTAAGAACTGTAACAGTAATCATAATGTGTAAGAATCATAGCGTGTGTTTCTTATTTAAATTAATCGATAGATACACGTCAATTTGATGTAGACGTCCCGTCACGCTCCGTGCTCTAACATTAAATACAAGCTGGGAAATTATTCGACGGTGGGAAACCCGCTTCCCGCCACACGGTGGCGCTGTCGGCGCGCCCGCCGCTGCGCGCGTCCCTGGGCGGAAACGTGGTCGGGACGAAGCGCACGTGGGTGGCCCAAGCGCCTGCTTTGCCGCTGTCCCGGGACAGCCGGGCCTTTGCGAAGCTGCTGTGACGTCGAGGACACGGCTTCTGCTTTGCACTTGTCCCCGACTGAGCGTGTGCGCCCCTGTCTACACGCACCCTGAATTCTGCCCCACAGGAGGCTCGCTGGGAAAGCAGGCTGAAGGCAGCAATCACAGTTTACTCATCAAATGCACAACCATACAGCGTGCAGCAGTAGTGTCTTCAAGCCGGCTCCTCGGTGCAAAGACCTGAGCTCTAAACACGCTGCTGTCGGCTGCCCTTAAACTCGGGGAACCTGGCGCCCACAGGTCATCCTCTTCTTGTACAATTCGCAGCGATGGAAGGGATTAGTCTTCCCGAGTTTTAGTCATCTTTCAGTGCTCTTAGTGTTAAGGGGGGAGATAAACTCGTTTCCTATTTTCTTTAAGAGTCTGTTCCCGATATTCACATTTATAAGCGTCCGCACCCTCTGCGAACACAGACGAGTCGAGGGAAGAATAAACCCTCTTACACGTTGCATCATAATCACAGACTCTGCTTCGTTACCTTTTGACCTTTTCAAATTATATTTCATGCAAATCGTTTAAAAATGATCTGACATTCCCAAGGCTCACCATGAACTGTGGGTCTGTGTTTTGCCAAAGCTAACAACACCAGTGTGTGTTCTTCCGGAAAGGAGTGGAGTGGAGGTGGGCGTGCTCTCGCTATAAATGCGGGCGAGAGCGCCTCTTGGCCAGTCAGTCAGGCTGGGAGAGCGACTCGGTATCTGTGCGAGAGGACTTGCGGGAAGGAGCGGCGCTTGGAATCAGACGGGACTTTAGGAGCTAAAAGCAGGTTACCGACGGAGACGCAGTCGCGTTTTTGGATTACTACCGAGTCTGAAGACATGAAGGTTCTCGCTGCGACAATCTTGGGGCTCTTCTGCGTGGGTAAGTCACCCCAACAAGTTCTCCACTTGGGTTGGTGCTGGGGCGCTTTTCTTCATCGCCTCTTCCTTGACTTGTGTGCCTGTAATGAGCAGCTCCCTCGCATGTTCCACAGTGACTTAGATGGAGAAAGAGAGTACCCTGCACGGGGCTTGGGTTAGGCACAATGCTCTATTCCGAGAGTGAAATATCACCTCCCAGACGCAAACGCACTCTCGACGCTTGTTAAAACCTACTCTTTTTTTTTCCCCCACGTCTGCCGGGATAAGAAGAACACGCATTCGATCGAGAGCAAATTCAGCAGTGTAAACGTGGGTACAGGCTTGTGAGAGTAGCCGGGTTTCCGTGAATAACCGCCTGCCTGTACGGGGTTCTGGTGGCTGTTCCGCGGCGGGGCTGTAACGCACAGTGTGGAAGCCGTGGTCGCCGTCACGCCTGGGCTGTTGCGTCGCGCAGGTGCGCTCGCCGAGCCCGGAGTCTGAACCCCTCTTCTCCCCGCAGTTCTGTCCAGCTCGGTCAGAGGCGCCACCATCGCAAGATACGACGGCGAGAGAACGGCGAAACCCGAAAGCCTGGATCGAGGAGACCCGCTGGGCGGCGGGAAGGACGGAGAGGGCGACCTGGGCGACTACAGGAGCTCGGAGGCTGAGGAGTACGACGAGGAGTACGAGTCGGGAGACGGCGAGGTCGGGTTCCCCAGGGGTAAGCATACCGAGCAAGGGCCGCTCAATACCGGCGTGGGGGGCAGTCTCTCCCTTCCACCTGCACGTTAATGAAGGGGGGGAGCAAAAACACGCTTTCAGGTGAAATGAGTGTTATTGAGAATCGTCACTGTTGCGGAGGTAGAGGCTCCTGGTCCTAGTCGCAAAACTCTTTTCAGTTCCCCAGAGCTGTAAGCGATAGGGCGTCTCAAGTTATTTAATGGATCATCATCTTTTTTTTTTCCTTCAATATACGGGGGGTATTCTGAAGTAGTAAACTACGTCCCCATACAGGCGTCCGGCGTGCGCGATTAGGAAGTCCTGCGGGGTAAAGGTGGTTTGGCGCTCAATCGAAAGACATCCGTAATGGTTTTCGGTGGATTGATGTTGGCGTTTCTGGCACGGTGCTCTTCCCTCACAGTCGAGTCTCTCAGTCTCCCGGTTTCGTGAAAAATTCGCCTGCCCTGAAACAATACTGAAGTGCAGTTGCTGCTTTCATGTTCCAGGCAGATTATCGGGGTGCAGGAATCAAAACACGGGCATGTCGGATGACTGAGGGAGGCGAGGCCCCCGTGTTTCTAATAATAAACCTGGTTACATCTCTTCTGGCTCCTCAGAATGAGGAAGAGGTCAGGAAGAGCTGGTATAGAGCAGCTACAGCTGCCTCTGACGGGAGAGGCTCTGAAATGTTTCAGCCGGTGGACACTGGGTCCATATGGCATGTTTACTAAGGGCTACGTGGGGAAGAGCCACAGACCTAGACAAGAGGAGCTCGCAAAGGAATCAGTCAGGAGCAAAGTGTTGCAGATAAAGAGCGTGATTTTTCTCCCTGCGATGCCTTTCCGAGCGCAGGGAAACTGCGCCGACTTCTAGGCGCCTGGAGTTCACTGTGAGCAAGTGAGATGCTGATGTGATCTCCCGAACGAAAAGAGAAGTTCGCGCCCCGATGTGCGAACGCAGTGGGAAGCGGAGCAGCCCGGGCCGCCCCAGGATCAGGGGACCCCCGCTCGCCTCTTACCGCCTGGCCCGCGTAGCGCCCCCAACCGCTGAGCGGTCCGCACTGGCTCGGCGGTCTCACTCAGAGCACTCTCTCTCTCTCTCCGCCCCGCAGTCGCCTTCTCCACCAAGCCCCGGGACCCCCCGGCGCGCTCGTCCCCGGAGCCGGGCCAGGCCCGGAAGGGCAAGGGCAAGAGGAAGGGGCAGGGCCGGAAGAGGAACCCCTGCCTGAAGAAGTACAAGGACTTCTGCATCCACGGGGTCTGCCAGTACATCCGGGACCTGAAGGCGCCCTCCTGCATGTGAGTGAGGCCGAGAGCTCTGGGGAACCCCCAGGGGGACAGGGGGGCCCCACTTTCCGTTCCTTACAGAACAGACAGGGGATGGACGCTGTGCTGGCATTGCGCCGATGAGCCGGCCGTGAAGGCCAAATGCAGAACAGGTGTGTGGAGAAGCGTAAGAGACGCTTGTCCAGAGAACTGAGAACTGGCTCAACAGAACAAAGGAAGACAAGTTCGTTCTGATCACCAAAATTATAGTGTCTCATCTCAATAACAGTCCCCCT